ACGTATAGCTGCTGATAGGTTAACGCTGCTTCGGATACATTTCGATACAGCAAAGGAAAATAAAAAAAAGATCGTGTATTATAAATTAACAAGCAGTAAAATGAACTAGCACATTGCCATTGCCTTTTTGTTTTTGTAAATATGCACACATCTCCATATTTTCTATGCATTTACTCGTTTGAACTCTTATCGCTGTCGACATTGATAGGCGGCGGCTCATACACATTCGTACAATATTGTATAAGTAAAACTCGCCGCTACGTGTACGCACACATTTATACATACAATTGTAAACAAAACACTCATAAAAACACCGCAAAATAAAATAATTTCTTTACCACTTGTTGTATAATCAAAAAAAAAAACGCACACACACACACTAACCCAAATGCGATTACACCTGTGTATTTTTTTTTTTAATTCGTAGGTAATTCTTTACTTCAATCTATGCCACGCCAGCGGCTTTTTTTCGTTACTTCAAACACTTTGCACTACATATAATTTATGTATGTATGTATTTTCAGTAATTCAATAAATTAATTCGCATATCGTTTTTCCATTATTATTGCTTCGCTTTTATTTGCATTCGAAATTAAGCACTATTTTCAGCTTAAAAAAAGGCAAAATTATTTGTTAACATTTTGGAAAATATATACATTATTCAGTATTTAATTCGAATTTCGTTTAAACTCGTTTCGTTTACATGCGGTTAAATCGAAAAAAACACTATTTCCGCTATCGTCACTTTAAAATCGGTGTCAGCTTAACTCTGTTAAGTTGTATAATGCTTTTTATCACATTTTTTTGTTAAGACGTGTAAAAACGACGCGTGGCGCGCAGTACTTCCTCCCCGGCGTAAAGCAAAATAGTATCTGTTGGATACAAGACTTATTATTTTCTCAGCAGTGTCGGATTTTGCAGGCGAACAAATTGTGAGTTGTATCCAACGTGTTCGAGTGAACAACAATTGTGTTGCATCAGTCAGTGATGGAACGGTAGCTAGAATTGTACCTAATTCGGTACTTTTCCAAATTAAAACATTCATTCGGTACAAGCATGCAATTTTAAGGTACATCTAGTACATACTTAAAATGTAGCAAAACTAATTTTCAAGAAAACACTGGGTCTCATGCATAAAAAGTGAGCTTAAGCTCAGACTCAGTTTTTGTACTGGTGAAGTGAGCTCAAACTCGGCAAATTTGTATTGAAAGTCGAGTCGAAGCCTAAGCTCACTTGTTAATGATGCCCATTATCTCTGTTTTTTTGTACGTACAAAACAAATAGTAGAGGACCCAAAATACTACCTTTGGGAACATCCGATGACGCGATAAAAGAATACGACTGTGAATTGTCAACGACAACCACACGCCTTCGATTCAAGGGATTGGACTTCCGCCAAAGGAGAAATTAAAGCCTACGCACGCCGATTTCTTAACTAGTATTGAATGCGAAGCTCTGTCAAAGTCCTTTCTAAATAGTTGATAAGCAGTCTTCTGAGAAAACAGACAAGTTTGAAACGGTAGATCTACCAGAAAAAGAGGCCATGCTGTGATGCTGGTTAAACTTTTAACCGCAAAAACCATTTTATCTTTAATATTAAATTCAAACAGCTTACAGGTAGTCCTAATCTTGTAGATAGGTCTGTAATTACTCACATCATTTTTACTGCCGTTTTTAAAACTGGGTGTAATAAACGCCACTTTTCAATCATCAATGAAATTGGCTGTAGATAATCATCTATTAAAGTTGAATTCGAGAAGATAGGAAAACGAAGCGCAATTTTTAAACAGAACAACCGAAAGACCAACGACATCTGTTTGTGGAGAGTTCTTAAGTTTTACGATACCTTTGGCAACATCATCCGAGGACAGACGATTCCACGTCTTATTCAAATTCAAAATCACTATCGTACTATCGATTTAAAAAAAGAAATCAGCGAAGAGGTTAGACGCTTCATTAGCAGAATTTGCATTTTGATCACATCGCGAAATTGTATTTAAATGAAAATTTAATAAAGATATAATAAAAAAGTAAAAACAACCACTCGTGCTCATATACCCGTAGTTGCGTATGTAACGTATACGCCACGTAGCACCATACGCAGTCATCTAAAATTTCAGTTAGTCTAGACTTAACTTAATTTAGCTTACCGTAAGAAATCGTCCATGATTACTCAACACAACAACTTAAGCCTGAAGCGGAAATATTTTGTTTTGTGTGTTTTGTTTTGCAGCTGTTTGACAGTTTGCCGCCTAAATGCCATATCAAAAAAAATAAAAAATGCATGCAAAAAGTATATGTTTGCGTTCATTGTGGTATGTAGCAAGAGCTGTCAAAAGTTAAAATCAAGGATGACATGATACGAAACTCTTTTTCTCGTGAAAGCGCTGTGAAAGGGTTCATTTTTATAACATCTCCCAATATTGCTAAAGCAGCGAAAATCATATTGGGAGATTTATTGAGAAAATGTGTGTGATTTTTTTTATTTAACCAAACAAGCAAATATTTTAGATTTTTAGTATCTTCTTAATTATTTAGTGTTAAAAATTACCATATAAAATGTTTTTTCTTGCAAACACTATCTTTAAGCATAATTTTTAAATGTGTTTGCAGGAAATCCATTGCAAATCGGTGTATTTTGTGCGTATCTGGTAACAGCTCGCTATTTTGCTTGTCAGCTGTTTAGTCTAACTTTATTTGACAGTGCTGCCAAGTCAGAAAACGAGTTTAAGTTAGATTCTCGGAAGCAAAATGAGAGAGTTTTATATCATGTCATCCTTTGTTGAGATATTCTAAATGCTCTAAACTTCCCACCATATGTAGCTGTGGTGGTTGTGGTGTATTCTTGCTGATGTACATTCTGGTTAGCCAGTAAGAATCTAAAGTCTTTGGCTCTTAAGTTTCGTACAATAAGTTAAGTTTTAACTAACCGCCAACGCAATTTCGCATATAACAGTTAAACCAAAATATTAAGTTAATTTACGGAAATCAAGTCTGGACTAACTGAGCTTTAAACGTATACTTGCGTGCCTTAAAAGTCATATTGGGCCGTATGTATAAAAAAATAAGCAATTGCTTTTTCTTAAAATTTCTTATACTTTACTCGATTTATTCAAGAAAAATTGAAGTGAAAGGTATGAAATTAAAAAAAAAGAAATTGCTTTGTTTTTATTCATACGGCCCATTATTTGAGAGTAGGTAATTGAATATTGGCGTGGGAGATTTTTACATAGTATTCCTTATGCACATATACATTACTTTCTTCATGTACATATCGCTATCTTAATATAGAAAGGCCCTATCTGACATCGTCGCTGATATACAAAAAGCCGTAACTAACTAAAAATCGAAAATTTATGTTTTAATTGATTATGATGCATTTGATCGCATTATGTGGCCCCAAATCGTTTTATGCAATAAAAGATTTTAGTTAGTTACGGCTTTGTGCATTTCAGCGACGATGTGAGATAGGGCCTTTCTATATTAAGGCAACGATATATAATAATTTTAGAATGAATTTCGAGTGTGCCAGTAAAAATTAAAAAAAAAATGGAATTTTAATTACTGAAATCATGGCCAACGTTTTACTCAAAATCATAATCTTTAGAATTATGTTTTGAGAATCCCTTAAAAAGATAAAATTAAATGATAAAATGAAAAACTGAATTTCTCACTAAATTTGAATTTTGCACTTCACCATTTCATAGAACGACAATTGGCCCCCTGCTCGATAACAGCCGCTGAGCTCGAAGTATATCGAAACTAATAGCCCAATTCTGTATCGGTGACAAATGTTTTTTTACTGACAATTTTTTCCATAATAAAAACTGTAGCAAGCATTTGTCACTGATACCATGATTAAAACATACTGATACAGAATAGAGCCATTAACCGTAAAACCAAAAATTAAACAAATTTCAACTTTAGGGCGTGTGTGAATCGGTAACAAAGTTCTATGGGGAAAGCTATTGAATAATATGTTTACTATGGTGAGACAGATTTGCCAATCTGCTGTGTGAAATAAAATATTTTTTGACAGCAGTAAATTTTTGATAACCGCAGATTTATGCGGAATATTACAAATTGAAGATAAATTAATATTTTAAGAAAACATCTACCATCGTTAATTGCAATTCATCAATTTAAGCTTTTATTTAACGAAGAATTACACACATCAACAACCTTTGCGACTGTCAAAATTTTCTATGCATTTGTCAAAAATTTCACTAGCATCATGAGCTACTGAAATTTTATTCACCTCATAGTTGTAAAAATTTACTCGCCGCGAACTTTGTTACCGATTCACACACGCTCTTTATACAATATTAATAGGCATATTTTCTTAACTGAAAAAAAAACCTTCGACAACCTCGAAAATTATAAAGTATCAGATGTTGTTGTGAAGTGATTTAATTTAAATAACTAATTACATAATTACTTTACAATTTTACAATTAATTTTCTCTCAGTGTACTCACCTTTTATTTCGCTTCAAAATTATGTTATGTTTAATGTTCATTCGTGTTATTAATTGCCAAAACTTGAAAAAAAACGCAATCAAATTTCCAATTTGCAGCACAGCGTTGAACCAGCAAAGAACACCACTTTCCACTTTGAGTTTACTCTAACGGGTGATTTTTTTGAGGTTAGGATTTTCATGCATTAGTATTTGACAGATCACGTGGGATTTCAGACATGGTGTCAAAGAGAAAGATGCTCAGTATGCTTTGACATTTCATCATGAATAGACNTTTCCGAAGAAATTCGGGCTATTCCGGCCGAAATGCTCGAAAAAGTTGCCCAAAATTGGACTTTCCGAATGGACCACCTAAGACGCAGCCGCGGTCAACATTTAAATGAAATTATCTTCAAAAAGTAAATGTCATGGACCAATCTAACGTTTCAAATAAAGAACCGATGAGATTTTGCAAATTTTATGCGTTTTTTTTTAAAAAAAAGTTATCAAGCTCTTAAAAAATCACCCGTTATAAGCGCTAACAAATGGGCGCCGGAAACTCCACGCCGCAAACGGCACACATCGTCAATCCCGCGCGCGCGATGCATGCAATTCAAGTCACGCCAAGCGTTGTCAATCGCTTAGAGAAAGCCAACCAGCAAATTTCTGAAACAACCCTACCGTCATCAAGTAAAGATGAACAAATGCATTGTGCACGCTGTTGTACTTGTGGATTCTTCAAGGGCAAAGACAAGGAGGCCAGCCTGTTGGCAATGAAATCGAATGAGTTGCAAGAGAGACAATATGCGAAGACGCTGGAGAAATTGGAAGCGATGTTGGGCAAGCCGGTACGTTTTGCAGATGTCCACGGTGAACATCTAAAGCACTTGGAGCAACAGCTATTAAAATGCTATGCAGATAATCCACGCGAGCCGCTAATTTGTTCTCAGGCGGCCAAGGAATACCAAAATTTCGTTTTCCAGCAACAATTCAAAGCGATTCTTAATGCCAAGAATATATCAACAGAGCAGTAGTTATAAATGTTTATTTTCACGCACTTAATCACTTTTTATTAAACAATTTAACACACGTTACAATTCACGTTTTCAATTGAAATAAAAGTCAGTTTGCGCGGAAATGACACTTGCAGCTGATTTCGTTTTTGCTTGTTAACTTTGGTCAAGCAGTGGCTATGAAACTGTTTTTATATGGCAGTTTTACTTGCAGCGGCTGCCAAACTATGAAATTGGAAAATGTTCATTGCGGAACTAAACCTTTTTATTGCGCAACTAAACCATTTTATTGCGCAATATTCTTCGTACAAATATATTACACTTTTTTTTAAAACAGAAAGTACGATATTTAAGGATATCTAAGATGTATAAAATGCATGCAGGAAACGCGTCTTTTTATTCGTTAAAACAGAAATTATAAAGTAGATAGAGAAGATGAAAAATCCAATGGAACCAAATATGGCATACATATTTTCTATCAATATGCAAGCACATGTATGAATATTAAGGCAAGTGCACACATACATACATATGTACATATTATTTTAAACATGATAAAAATATAGTAAGGTAGAACCGCTGAGAGTCACTTTTAAAATTCTTGACGTTTCCAAACAATTTAATTTTTAAATTTACTCACAAACTCACACACACATTTTCATTTTCAATCTCAAGCAACAACAATTTCGAACAATTTCATTTTTTTATTTTCACTTTTATATGATTTTAAAATGTTGGCAAACTTCAAAAAAAAATCATGGCCGACAAATTGAGAGAACGGTTATACCTTGCTATGTTTTTATCATGATTTTAAACACAAAAAGCTTCTTCATCGTGTGGGGAGCGCTACGCTCAATGTTAAAATTCTCCGGGTTTATTTATGAACAAAATGCAAAAACTTTGCGGATTTCGAGCATCATCATATGTACATACAGTGCAAAAGTAGCGCGAGAGCTGTGTAGACGCGTGACATGTGCATAGTATGGAAAATAGTATATGATTAAATGTAAAATAAGTGATTTTCTTTAAACGTATTCAAATGAAAACGAAAACGCGTGCAGTATTTCATTCTATACATTTTTTTTATATAAATGCGGTACCATAAATCTGAATAAAATTTTTTTTAAATGTAAGAACTTTAGTTAATACTTTGTGATTACATTCAGTAAATGTTATATATGTACATGTTTGTATGTATATATTAGCTGTATATTAGTGCGCTTAGTAATCGTTAAACGTGCGGTGAAATAATTCTGAATGGAAAATTTGTTGTTGGCTTGCGTTGTGATGAAAACATACGTACATAAGCACATACATACATATATGAGGTTGATGACGAGTGACGGGGTGTAAAGTACGTCAGCTTGTGCGTAACATACATACAAACATACATACATATGAATATCACTCGTCGTCAAGTGAGCCAAACAAGTGTTAGCGGGTGTTTTACTTTGTCATGCGAAAATTATGTAAAGCGCTTGTCTTTAATTCAATTACTAACGTACATATACATAAATGTGCTTTATGTGATTATAAAATTCATAAATTATAAACTCTGATATGATATACGCTTTTATGATAAGAGCAATCTCAATTGTTTTGTTATTTTTTGCTCTTTTTGAGTAGTAAACGATTTTATTGTAGTTATCTGTCGTATCTCAATTGTTTTGTTATTTTTTGCTCTTTTTGAGTAGTAAACGATTTTATTGTAGTTATCTGTCGCCTTCCGCATTTACTGTTTCCAACGGAAGCTTTGAAATGCGCTATTTTCGATTAGGGTTGCCAGTGTAGTGAAAATTTCAAGAAAATTGTGGTTCTAACATATTGCAAATATGTTGCATTTAAATACCAGAGACAACAGTTATAAGTTTTATAGCAAAAACGTTGCTCCATAACAGTTATTAGATGAGAAATATTTTTTATTTCGTCGATAAGAGTTATAACCCAACCTTTATTTTTTACGTTGCCTGATAACTGTTATACAGGAGAAATATTTTTTCCGTTGCCGATAAGAGTTATTTCCCAACGTTTATCTTTTACGTTGCTGGATAAGTGTTATTTTACAACGTTTGTTTTTTACGTTGTCTGATAAACGTTGTAAGATTAGGATATTGATGATGGTGGAGATGGAGAATAAGATAAAGACGATGAAATAAAAGTGAGAGAGTGAAATAACTATTATCAGATAACGTAAAAATATTCATCGGGCAATAACTGTTTTCAAGCAACGTAAAAAATAAACGTTGGGCAATAACCGTTATCGAGCAACGTAAAAAATAAACGTTGGGAAACAGCTCTTATCAGCAATGGAAAAAATATTTCTCATCTATTAACTGTTATGAAACAACGTTTTCGTTAAACTTCAGAATTCAGAAAACGTTTTAAATTTGTAAATTCGGGATAACAGTTATTTTTAGTCCCTGTAAAATACCTAACACAAAATATAGAAACTACAATAAATGCGGCATTTCTAGTTTCTATGAAGAAGCATAACATAGATGTTTTCGCAAAACCGCCCATCGACCAGTTACAAAACCGCCTAAATCAGCATTTAGCATTTGACTGGGGGCGGGGGGAAACAAAATTGACCGCTTGTTAGAGCTACGCGTCCGCTTATGAGATATTTTTTTTTTTATAACTAGACATGTTTGAGCGTACGTCCGTTTATCGGAAAGTCCGTGTTTTTGGGAAGCATTTTGTAATGAAAAAACGAAAAAATTGATCGTTCCCAAGAATGTATCCGCTCATAGGAGATGTCCGCTTATTAGAGCATCCGTCCATGAGAGCTTTCACTGTATGCATTCCTAAGGTCGGATATCTCGATTGGGCACTAGCCCAAAATTTGGCGTATATTGGTACCCCAATCGTGTGATCCGAAAAAATGGGCTTAATCTAAACCTGTATACATTTTTCCAATGAATTTCGAATTAAACGAGATGTCAGAATTTACACCTAACCGATCACACAAAGAGGTTTCGCTTCAAAAATAAACACATGGCAACCTCTGCGGGTTCAATTATGTGCATATATATATATATATATATATATATATATATATATATTGCCGCCCTCCGCACAAAAGCTTTAAATGGTCAAGTTCAATGTCTCTCAGCAATTTAAACTACTCTGCACGCGCCTATACAAAATATATAGACAACTTAAAAGAGCTTTGCTCGCGCCCAAGGCAGTGCCCATCGCCGAGCTACATACATACATATATGTACATATCGTCGTCTCAGAAAACGGATGTCGAATGTTACAAAACACGGTTTTGAGAAAATTGACTTTGAAGTTTAAGGTCGAATTAATCCGAAACTGTACGGTAGGTTTTTGTAATTTTTGAAGGAGACGTAGTTGGTGTTATTAGTTTTGATTTTCCATATTTCTAAATTTAATATCTCTTAACGTTAATGAGAAAATTGACTTTTCATTCCGTATACATTTGTCGTAAGTAGCGTTTACTCACCACTTTGTTTTGTCCACAGAACATACGACAATAGTAAAGTATCTATTTCAACGACGATGGTAAAATTTGATGAAAAAACCAGACATATTTATTAAATAATGATTACTTATTAGAAAAAACATACCAAAAACATATTCATGTATTTAATAAAAAAATCGGTGATCTCTATTGCTGTAAATATGTTACGAACATAAGTTTTCTTTATATAAAAACAAAAAAACAATACTTAAATTCAGTCTTTTGTACATTTTTATTTCTTTAATTTCATTGGAGACTCAGTACAAGCTAAAATTTTAAAATTTAAAATTTTAAAATTAGTTACTTAGTTTAATTTCCAATTTTAATTGTGTCGTTTTAGTAGAGGACCATCGAATTGTCGTAAGTTCGAAGTTTTGCGATACATACGACAAATGTTTTATGATTAAAAAAGATTACATTTGTATGGGAATTTGTCGTATGTGCCACATACGACAAATGTTTTATGATTTAAAAAAAAGTACGTTTGTATGGGTATTTGTCGTATATGACGCATTTTCAGCACATACAACAAAAGGCATACCCAATCATTAATATTATGTTACATACGACAAAATGCGCACGAAATATCTCAAAAACTAAGGGAGATATAAAAAAATGGATTGCAGAAATCAAAAGAGCATGCCCAACTTAGTAAATCTGCATCAAAATCCCAAAAACGTGATTTTGCACATTCGTCATCCGTTTTCTGAGGCGACGATATGTAGATACAGCTACACATTGGTGGCGGGTGTTTTTTTTTCTTTGGACGCTGTGATAGCGCACTACCCTCAAGTGGCCCAATGAAACCAGGCTAAGCCTGTTTATGTTCCACCATTACTTCACGGGGAGGGTTGCCATGAAAACGCCGTCTTTATGTTCCGTGTCGTCACTTCTCACTTCATGTGACGGGTTTTATGGGCTCGTCTTCGCCTTATCTGCTCACTGGTACGCAGCTGCTGTATCACCTGGGCAACCATGCTGCATACCTCTTTTCATGCTTCTTCATTCTTCAACATTAGTGTGTTAGGTAGAAATCATTCACTCCGTGTTATCGTTCCACCCGAGCGCTGATGTTCGTGATAAGCCGATAAGTCACCTACCATTCGACGCTTTCTCCCATCTTGTCTGCCACTGGGATATGCTACGTTGCCTCAGTGCATTTTTGTGGAACTTAACATGTCTTGCGTCGCTCAGGCCGCTTAAAGCCGTTACTCCAGGCCGTTTTCCCGTATAGGAGTATAGTATACCACTCCTGCTAGGATTTTCTTTGTCCGCGGAGGTGGCCCGCCGATGTTTGCCATTAACCGAGAAAAAGCGGCTGCTGTCCCCGCAGGCTTTTGGTTAGCATATTTCTAAGTTGTCACTGAAGCAGAGACGATGGGATGGGATGGGTCTATAAGGACGCCAAGGTACTTCACATACAGTTTCGACTCTATAATGCTATGTCCTACTCTAAGTACCTGCAACCTTTTCTACTTTCTTACGGCTGCTGATAAGTACAGCTTCCGTCTTGTGGTGTGCTTACGTTAGCGCCTTAGCATTTAGCCATTGCTTGCCTGCTGTTATTCAGGCTTCCGCAATGTCTGTAACTTCTCTGAGTGGTTTTGCCTCCACCACGATTGATACGTCGTCTACAAAACCTAAATATGTTGCGCTTTTGTGAACCTTTAGTCGCAGAATGTCATCATACATGACGTTTCGCAGGAGGGGTCCCAGTACCGTTCCCTGGGGTACGCCAGCCGATACTGCTTTGTCAGTGGTTTATTTTATACTGTCATAGCGAAGCATTTTATCCGAGAGATAGTTTGAGATAATTGCCTGTAGGTAAGTTGGCACATATAAGGCGCGAAAAGAATTCTTGACAACAAAGGTGACAAGCATGCAATATTACTTAGTACCATACAATCACCGCTTGCCAGCAGTGGCCACTCCAGCGATTGCGTTTGTAGTTGAGCAGTTTTTCCTGAAGGCGTATTGACTTTTAGATAGATGGCTATCTGTGGCCTCTTCGAGTCTGCGTTTGGTAATATGCTCGATTACCTTTCCGATGGAGTCCAACATGCATAGTGGGCTTGCGAGTTTTGTGCCAGTTTTGACGCACCATGGCTACATCACAAGCCTTTTCAATGGCTTTAAGAAGCTTTGAAGCTGCGGTTACTGCCGAACCTGAGACGTGCGTATTTCTGAAGGCTACTTCGACAGTTTTTCATCGAAGATTTTAACCTTACATCCGATGCGTCGTTTGAGAGGGGCTATGTCAATAGCTGGTTTCTCAATCGCTATAATGATTGCCCTGTGATCGCTATGGGCGTAGCTGTCGCTGATATGTCAGCTGCTGTCCCTTAAATTTTTCTAATGAGTTAATAGTGCTATTTATAAATTCAAACAATAATAACTACCTTCGTCACTGTAATGCAAAAAGGCCTGCCTAATAAATTTGTATTGCATTAAATGACGTGGGAAGTTGTAATTCGATGAAATGCATCATATCAATCAACCCTTGAAATTTGATTTTTTTTTTATTTATGACTTTTTGCATTTCAGGTAACGATATGTATTATCGATTCAGATCATCTGCACGCTCTACCTCGTTAGGCACCCATCAGACTGTTATTAGCGACTAATGACGCAAAACTGTTTGGGTGTGCTTAGATCACCTTAAAATAATGAATATCTAAATAGTACAAACCTTAAGAAATTTGATAAAGATTTTTTTTACGTTAGCGATGCAAATTTGGGACACTTCAGTGTTCTATCGGCCGCCCACTCTTACAGCGCAATTCTGGCAACTATCTTTAAAGCTCTTTTTTGTTATTCGAAAGACTAATTAAAAGATTTTCTAAACAGGAGGTATTGGCGTTATTCTGTTTGTCTTTTAGCAATAAATTTTCTAAAAGTTAAATGAAATTAAAAAATGTTTGCACTTTTTTTTCTTTTTAAAGCAATAAAATCTAAAAATAAAACAATAAAAAAGGAAACGAAAGGTATGATTCTACAAATTAAGTGATGCTAAAAAAATGTATTTTTAAAACAATATAATTTAATGAAAAAAAAGTAAAATCAAAAAGAAAAAATTATGATTTAAAAATAAATAAAATAAGTTCCTAAAAATTTATGAAATCCAATAAATATTTTTTATTTCTTTTTAAATTCTATTATCTAAAAATTAAAAGAAAATAAAATTAAAAAAAAATAAATAAATAAAGTTGAAATAGTCCGTAAAAATTAAATGAAATTAAAAAAAATGTTGTATATCGCAATCTTTCGAAATAAATAAGTCTCTGCTAAACAGAAGTTCTTGGCATTATTCTGTTCTTGCTTTAGTATTAAATTTTCTAAAAATTAAACGAAATTGAATAATATACATTTGTTCCACCATCACGGGTGGGACATTTTAAGAAAAAATCTGAGTTATTTCCTCTGTGTTCCACGGGTAGGACAAGAAAAAAGAACCTGCTGTTTGGAGCGAATGTATTTCACTTTTCTATGTGAACTTGATGTTTTGAAATAAAAAAAAGAAGCACAAATACTAACAAAGTAAAAACTTACACAAAAATTGTTGATTTATTAAAAAAAAAAAAATCTTAAATTCCTCTGTCACGGGTGGGATATGTACGAATTTTTATATGAAAAGGAGCTTTGAGTGTTGCCGATATTGAAAATTATTTATTAAAAGTTATAAGAAGCCAAGTAGAGGTTCAATACACTCACGTTTTATCTTAGGATAGTGCATTTTATGTGGAAGAAAATGCCTAACACCGTTAGCCAAAAAAAATATTAAAAATCAACATGATTTACCAGCGTCTTGAAACTTTCACTTTTGTTTTTTGAATATATGTATAACACAATGTTATTAAAAGCAGATGGGTTCTACTATATATTTTTCTTACCAAGCACTTGAATTATGAATCATCAATTATTTGGCAGTACTTTAAACACAACCTATTTGAAATTCATTCAAAAAAATTATTATAACTTTATTTCAAAACGTAAAAAAGTTAATAAAAATGCATTTAAAACTTTAATTTGTTATTTTTTGGTTGATTCATGATTTTTACAAATGTCTTATCCACACGTTTGTTAGTTTCATAAAAAAAATAATTTTTGCGCTGAGGTTCAGTTTCCCATGGAACCTCGCATATGTATGTATGCATTTATGTACTGTTGTACTGCTAGATTTACATACGTGAGAGATTTGAGATTTAATGAACTAAAAGCTTTAAAATTGCGTGCCAATAATAGTAATATTTTTATGTCATTAGTTTAAGTGCGTAATGAGATTTCGCATGGAAATAAATTCGCTCTCTTAGATTAGGCAAATCATTTCATTTCGCGCTCCTTATATACATATACATATTAAAATATTGAAAATGTGTAAATTTCAGGGGGAATGCCATACATACATACATCCATACTATTAGGATAGGTATAATTGATATTGTCGAATGTCTATATACATACATACATACAAATATATGTATATGCATATAAAGTTGCATGCATGAATGACCCACAAGACTGTGACTTATGATTATTTCTTTTATTTTCAGCTCTAAAAAATGGTGGTTCCCTTAACTTTAAATTTTCTAAAATCTCAATGGCGCCTTTTCGCAAATGCTCACCCATTGGCTAGAGGTTGCATTTCATATGCTGTAATATGGCCAACAAGTAGTTTGATACAACAAACGATTGAGGGTAGAAATTTGAGTAAGTGATTGTTTATTTACATGTATGTGCATATTTATATTCCCTGCAAAGATTTATGCGACTACTTGTTAAAGAGACTAGAGCGGAATCAATCTCCATGGTTTATGACACCGGGCGACGGTAAATTTTACACACAAAAAAGTCAATATATTCGCGAAACTAGGGGCCAAAAATTTTAAAACTGCATTTTCGGCTTTTCTCTCCGGCGTCAGGATTTTCTTTTTTTGTAAAAGGACCTCGAAATTTCGAATTTAGGATTAATTCAAAAAATTCAATGCAATAGAATATAATAACAATATGGTTATCAAATAAAAGAGAAAATTTTATAGAATTAAAAGATATTAAATTTTTTGGTGCATAAAGACTAGTAGGTATTAAAAATTTCCTTTTAAAATTTTATCGTTGAATATCGTTGAAAATTCGCAGTATTTATTGTTGAAGAAAAAATATATATTTTCGCCCTTCTATCTTTATTGGCTTAAAATATTAAATTAATAGAAATAAATTGAAATATGTGTCCTTGTGAATCGAAAAGACTTCAACTCTTTTTAACAGCATTTTCTGTTTCTTTTGATACCCATAAATTTTTTAAATAATTTTCAAGTAATATTCGAGATTGAGTAGACCGTTCGGTTGGGGTTGGGGTCTTGAGGTCAGAACTGGATTTTAGTTAATCTCTGATTAATCCCTGCGGTTACTTATGACGACTAATTGATATGTCTTCACTTAATCAGCATGCTTTTAGTAAACCTGAGCCCAAATCCGCTCAAAATTAGCTTTAGTTACTTGACTTATTTCGGACTAGTCGAATTTTATGCAGGGTTATTTGCGCAAATATGTATATATACTTAAAGATATGTGAAACCTTATAAATGTTAGAATATTTTTTTGCTTTTTGTGTAATTATCCACAGAAACCTATGACTGGATACGTTGCTTGCGTTATAGCCTTTTCGGCGCGCTATACGTGGCACCAACTTTATATGGATGGGTGCGACTCAGTTCTGTTATGTGGCCACAAATGAATCTGAGAGTAGGAATTGTCAAGGTATGTACTCGTAAATACGAAGGCAAATGTTTATATATATGTATTGTATTTGATATTTAAGAGAAATTACGTTAAATTAAACGAAGAAGGTTAATGATAACAGTCGTAAAGCAAAAAGAGTTATGCTCTATTATACATACATACATATGCATGTAAACCTGAATCTTCATCTTTTGAGAATACAAATTCAAAAAGTTTAATATGTCTTACTAATGTCTTTAATAATTATTCTTCCTTTCAGGCGGCAGTTGAGCAAATCTCCTATGGACCATTCGCCGGTACCAGTTTCTTTTTCATTATGAGTTTGCTAGAAGGTCGTACCCCCAAAGAGGCTGTGCAGGAGGTCAAAGACAAATTTCCAAAAGCATTTGAGGTACATATATACTTACATACATACATACATATACATACATATGTACATATAGCTCCTTATCTAACAAAAACCCAATAAGGAATTTTAAACCTTGTACAAACATTTAGAAAATTAATTTGTTCAGCAAAATTTCAAACTTTTTAAGCAGAATTTTTAGAAGACTTTTTCATATGCAGTTTTGCCCTCACCCGTTTCGCTGAGTGTATTCAATTTCTCCGTATCGCATTGTGTTTAATTTATTTCAATTAAACTCAAAATATTTAAACTGAGCGTATAAATAAGAATTTACATTTTCCCTTTTTTAATCCTCTCAAAATATCGTGAAACTTAAACCTTCTTAAACCCCTTTCGTCTGACACCCAGTACTCTACTACTAATATACTTGCAGTATAAAAAATTAAAATGTTTGAAATTTTTATGAAACTTTGTCGAATTTTCCTATTTTTTGCACAAAATTTGAAATTCGAACTAACTTCGTTTTTCTTAGATAATGGCTATACTTTCATAAAAAATAACAAGAAAAATAGCCAAAACTTTTTAAACTGACGCGCCCGTATTTATTTTTGCGCCACTGTATATGTATATAAAATATGATTCTATGTTTAAAAATAAGTCATTCAAATTTCTTTTCTTTTCATAGACTGGAATTTGCGTTTGGCCAATAGTGCAGACAATAAACTTTTCAATGGTTCCTGAACATCATCGTGTGGTTTTTGTTAGTATTTGCAGCTTAGCTTGGACCACATTTTTAGCGTATATACAAGAAAAGGATATGCATGAAGAAGAAAGAATTGATTGGAAGCCAATAGATCCTCAAAAAAGCGATGAAAGTTTAGTTTTAAGAGTAAAACGTGCTTTGGCGCTGTGAATATTTTTAAAAAGGGGGGGTACAAAAAACGAATGTGATTCATAAAACTAGTTCAATACTTAATATATACAATACGATATATGCAGTGCATAGTTGATTATTGTTGTTAATTAATTTTATTTGTATGCTTAGTACATTTACATAGAAATAGTGACAATACCCATTTAGACGAATTTTAAATGCATTGTGCAACAATTGAAGCGTGCATTTATTTTAAATAAAAATAAATTGTTGTTAAAATGCCAACACATACCACGGTCGTTTTATATTTCAATAAATAGTTTATGTTTTTGTATTTTTATTAAAAAGGTACTTTACTTGTCAATTACCCACTCATAACACTGTGGGGAAAATATCAGGTTTTTAAATGTCACAAAAAAACGCCGACACACGTAAACTTCATTCGGGGTCGCAGATTATGGATCTCTATACCGTTTTGCCAGATCAGGTCATTGTCACAAGATATTTAAATTTTTATGAAAAAATTTATATTTTAACAGGGGAAAAATTAATATAATAAAAAATGTTGTCTATTTTGTTTTCATCTGGATTAAAGCGTGTTGTTTTGCCAAAAAGTCAAGCTACCAACGATGAAAATTAATGCATAAATAAACAAATGTAAATGTCCAATAATTGTTTTGTATGAAATAGCAGCAGAAAATAATATTACTCATGCGCCATATCATACATAGCCATACTCGTACATTCCGGTAGTACATAGCGTATGAGTAACAATTTCCATGTAAAGTTTGAGTTTTTTTCATTCGCAATGCTAACATAAAATGAAAATATCTTGCGAAAATTTTTTGATATACATAGAGAAACGTCAAATAGATCCATAATCTACGACCCAAAACAAAAAAAATATAAAAATAGATTTTGTACATACATATGTACGTTATATGGAATAAAATACGGAGCATCCTAGACAAAAAAAAATCTAAAAAATCAACGGTATTTATACAAAAATTATAAAAGTAAAAAAAAAAAATACCAAAATGCCTCAACAACTTTTAATGTTTTTTTTTGCTGCCGCTACTGGGCATTTCCTTCCACATAGAAAGAAATTTTGAGCATACTTAGCATACATCACATGAAAGAGAATGCATAACACTGTCAGCTAAAAAAAAATTATTAAAAATCAAACCGATTTTTCTAGTGTTTTGAAATTTGCGCTTAACCTACTAAAAAACCATACCTTATTTTTTCTTTGACTCTGATTAAAAGTTTGAAAATTTTGGGGGGACTTTGGTAAAATTTGTTGAATTTTTATAATTTTTGTACATATGTAGTTTTAAATGTGGATTTATATGATCGCTGTCATATAATGCGCTGGACTTGTATAAAAAAATATGAAACATCGAATTAACAAAGAAATACATATTGGCAAAACTGGTCAAAATAAAAAGTTCCTATTATTTCTTCCAACACTCTACATATTGAAGCAAACGAAATTACATATGTATTAAATATGTATACACATACCTGGCGGGGCATTTATCAAAAATCACCAAAAGATATTTACAAGCACGACCCATCTCGCTCGCTTACATCCGTTACAGCAACAAAAATCAGTAAATATGGCCGCTCACATCACATTTCAGCTTATAAAAACTTTTCACATTTCCTACTACTTAACGAACTTATAATTCCACTGCAGGTGGCCATCTTTCTTTTTCGCAAACACACAAACTTTAAACCACATACTATTGAATATATAACATGAATTGCTTGCACGACACTATTTTATATTTATTTAAGAAGATTTGCACATATTTTAATTCACAAATTGCACATTTTATTTGATTTTATAAATACATACTACACAGCGAAAATCTCACAGAAATATTAAAGCACTGCAACTTCACCGGACGCCAACTAAAACACGACTGAGGAAACAAACTTACCGGAGGTAAAGTTAACGAAAGGAAGTTGTTCCAAGAAGAAAATTTGTTAACAACTTAAATTTAGCACTGACCCAAACCATTATTTAGTAGTGTATTGGCATTAAGCTATGGAGCGCCAGAAGGTATGCAACGGATGGAGAACTAGAAGTTCGTTCAGCTGAAAAATGTGATTTCTGGGTGAAGGAGAGGAGCGTTTGTTTACATTTTGATAACGAATTGTAATAGTGAAAAAAGCTTATAAAAATGGGTGAAGTAAGCGGTACGTGTAAAAAATTATGAATGAAAATTGTTTTTATTGGATTTGTCGTAAATATTAGTTGGCAGAGACAGATAGGCGACGTACTTGTGTTAATTTGTTTTTTTGGGTAGGTATACTTTTATGAATAAACAGAGTACATACCCTAATTAGTCTGTTTATGCGAACACTAAAGCTAACTATTAACTGTATATTTTGTTCGAAAAAAATCTAACTACTTTTGTGGAGCGATGGCCGGAAAAAATTCGGACCTGCATTACATGTCAACTAACTTGTAACTAACTACTTTTGGACATAAAATATCAACCAAAAAACATTTATTAATTTTTTTTACATATTTATTTTTTTAATTAATATTACAAAAATGCTTTTTTAATCGGTTGCTATTCACCGTATTGCTATAACCCCGTTCAAACTAAATACGTAGATATTTTTTGTTCCCTTCAGAAATCTTTAAAAAATAAAATCTGCTTCTTTATCTGCAGTGTGCGGTAAGAAGTTATCATCGGATACCCAGGCAATTGGTCCCTTTAACCACAAGCTCAGAAATATTATTTACGAGTTGAAAGCTTTGCGAGGACCAAATATACAACGCAGACCAGACCCTACGCCGACGCTACTATAGTCGAAGATATCACATATAAATTTTGGTCCTGATTGGAGACGCTTAAAGCGTGTTGTACAGGGGGCAAAGTTCAGATTCCTCTATGGAGACTCAAAAAATTAAAATAAATTTTTTTTTGCATATAATACCCCAAATCGGAACTAGAAGATATCATACATAAATTTTGGTCCCGATTGGAGACGGTTAAGACGTGTCGAAAAGGCGTCAAAGGCGAGATGCCTTTAAGGACTTAAAAAAATGAAAATATGTTTTTAATTTAATGCCCAAAATCGATACTACTAAAGTCGAGGATATCACAAATAAATTTTAATCCCGATAGAAGTCGGATAAGACGTCGTCATAGGGTAATCTGAACTTTGACCCCTGTGCGACACGCCTTAATCGTCTCCAATGGGGACCAAAATTGATATGTGTTATCTTCGGCAATGATAGCATCGATTTTGGGTATTAGACGAAAAAAAATTTATTTAAATTTTTTTAGTCTCCATAGAGGAGCGTGAATTTTGCCCCCCGCGCGACACGTCTTAACCTTCTCCAATCGGGACCAAAATGTATATGTAATATCTTCGACTATAGTAGCATCGACGTAGGGGTATATGCTTGGGAAATCTGATGTAAAAATTTGCTGCCTATATTTAAGGACCATCCTAATATATATACATACATAGTACGAAGAGGGGAACATTTTAGAGAAACTGCAAATTGAGTTTTCGTGCCTTTAGCTAAAAAAATGGCGCCTTGCATTCGGTCAGGAATTAATGGAAACAGGATATTGCGAAATCCTTCTCCTAATTTTGTTATCCCAGCATTTTTTCAGACAATTTTTCAATACCAGAAAAGCCTTAGGCTTATATTGAGTAGATTTTGCCTCATTTCGTGTCATAAATGGTTAATGGTACTTTGACCTAAACGAATTCCCAGGCAATTTATGTGATAGATAAAGTACTTTATTTTTTTTATGAGGAAGGACACCTTTTACAACCCCAATGTTAAATCGGTGAATAGAATATTGCCTTTCAATTTTTTAACTTTACCAACCTTCGTATCGGAGGATTTTTGAGGTTGCTGATTACGAATCGGAAAACAGTTTTTTAAAAATTCGATATGGCGGATCCAATATGGCGGATAAGTAATCGTTAAGTAGTTTCAAGTTTTTTAATATTACATACTTCATAAATAAGTTGTTTTTAGCAAATCGCAATATCTCAAAAGCTAGATAACAAAAGTATGCTACTACATTGCATAACTAATATCAAACCACACATATTGCGATGGTCATGGTTTCTTCTTATCAAAACATATTCTTTACTACGCAATTGAATTTTTGGTCAGAATGTTATAAGCAATGTTTCCACGCCTCGTCGGTCTCAGCGCCAGCTTAAAGGAGGAAGCAAAAGGGGTTGGTATACAGGTGAAAAAGAGCGCAACAAGACCAAGTATCTCCAGTCAACACACAAAGAGTCTTTGACCAAAAATCAGCAGGTCCTATATGCACTTGGAGTAAACAACTGGCGCAACTTCGCTAAGGAGTGAGAGGCAGTGATCGAAGTTTTTTGGTCTCGGCTTACACTGGCAAAAACCTTATAAAAACAAATAAGCCGCACAGCTTAACTTAAGTAATATATGTATGCATTTATATATAAAGCTATTTTCGAACCAAAGAGTATAGACGCGAAATTTTCAGATCTCATGATTGCGAAGAAATTTCGACAACCACTTCACAGTTGACGCGTGGATGCACTAAATTGTGGTTTGTCACTATTCCTTATCTATGAAATATGTTGTTTCTGTTGTTGTTTTTGTTGTCGCTTGAATCATTATTTTCGTTGAGTTTCGATTGATACGAAATTGACCAAGTAACAGTAGCCCAAATTGATATATATTTTATACGATTTGATGTGTTCCTTAAGATAGGCTTTCATGTATGTCATACGTTGCGTAAATGTTATAAAAATATGATCACGAAAACGACGAATGGCAAATAGTGAAATACTTGTTAAGCGTGGAATAGATTTTTTTTTATTAAGATCTATAAGAATGGAAAAATAACAAGCTTATTCCACGTGAAATACAGAACATTTTGATACCGAACAATTTTTTTACCATATCTCGTAATTCTTGCTATTTAGTTTCGGTTAGGTTGGACGGAAATTCTATGTGGGCACACTTAAACTCAGGGTCATTTGTAGTAATATCGCATGAGGTTTACATTTATTCCCATTCCCGTATAAAAAACTTGGTGCTTAGCAAAAAAAGGATAGGCTTCGAATATTCCGTGCTTTGAGGTCAACGAGATCATTGAAACAATATCTGCCAAAAGCTTTTGCTCTCCGTTTTGATAGAACCGGTCAATGGCCGAGAAGATGTTGGACGGTTGCTTCTTCAGTATATAGTCGTTCTAGCGTCAGAACTCCAGTTACTATGCGAATATCATGCCTTCATAGATTAAGTAGAGACTTAGTACGTCGAGCGTCTTGTATGGCTGGTCAGAGTGTTTTGCAATATGACAACTTT